TGGACCTCTCACTGTTGTGGCCTCTCCCGTTGCGGAGCATAGGCTCCGGACGCGCAGGCTCAGCGGCCATGGCTCAGGGGCCCAGCTGCTCCACGGCATGTGGGATCTTCCCGGACCGGGGCACAAACCCGTGTCCCCTGCATCAGCAGGCGGACTCTCAACCACTGCACCACCAGGGAAGCCCCTGCAGTTTTTTAATACTATAGTAAATAACGCTGCGTTTTAGAACTAAGTTTCCTGGTTTGTGTTGGAAAAATTATATTAATGCCATTTAACATTTGTGTTCTCTCTTTCTTCCAAGGAGTTCAAATTGGATTATAGATATTATAGAAATTGGAATACCAGAACATTAGAACCTTAACAATAATTTAATTCAACCTTCTCATTTTATAAATGAGTTCACCTTAAACATTAATTTTCACATACGCTGGTCTCAATGGAGAAGGTAGTTTATGGGGGTAACTGGAGATGTAGAAATGTTCATATAAAATATATAGTCAGATAAGTCTAGCAATATTTGATTTAGGAAATGTTGTGGTTCCTTATTTCTCGGGGTTTAGATTTAGTGATGTGCTTTGAACCAGGAACGGACATCCCCAACAGGTGTTTTCTTAGAGATAATCTTCACTCATTAACCTGATCACCTGTTACCTTTTCTCTTTTCTTTTCAATTTATTTGAACTAAAAACAAAAAACAAAAACAGGTCACCCCTTTCTCCCGCCTCTAGCAATCAGCAGTATATTCTCTATATCTAAGAGCTTGCTTCTTATTTATTTATTTATTTGATGTTCCATATAAGTGAGGTCACATGGTATTCATCTTTCTGACTTATTTCACTTAGCATAATGCTCTAGAGGTTCATCCATGTTGTTGCGAATGGCAGGATTTTATTCTTTTTTGTAGCTGAATAGTATTCCACTGTATACATATACCACAACTTCTTTACTCATTCATCTATTTATTGATGGACACTTAGGTTGTTTCCATGTTTTGGCTACTGTAAACAATACTGCAATGAACATGGGGGTGCAGATATATTTACAAGTTAGTGTTTTCATTTTCTTCAGATAAATACTCAGAGGTAGAATTTCTGGAGCATATGGTAGTTCAAAATTTTAAAAATTTTTTGAGCAACCTCCATACTGATTTCCATAGTGGCTGCACCAATTTACATTCCCACCAACAGTGCACAAGGGTTCCCTTTTCTCCACATCCACACTAACACTTGTTATCGCCAATCTTTCTTTTTTGAATTTTATCTTATTTATATTTTTTATACAACAGGTTAATAGTTATCTATTTTATACATATTAGTGTATATATGTCAATCCCCATCTCCCAATCCATCCCACCACCACCCACCCCCACCCACCTGTTACCTTCTCTAAATCATTCTTCGGCTGTTTTTATATGTTAGTTGTGAAGACTAACAGGAAGAAATTATTGCATATCCTCACTTCACTCTCAACTCATCCTCACCTCAAAGTGGACAGGTTTGGAAGAAGATTGTGCCCTTTCTTCACGATCATTAGACTCTCTTCCACACCCAACTTACCAAGTCTTTGTCTGAAGCCCCAGGGACAGACTTGCTTCTTATGCTTACAGTATCCTCTAAGTCTTCTGTAGATGGCCCACTCAGATCTAACTCAGATCGACTCCGGTCTGGAGGAAGGAAAAGGAAAGATGTGAATCATCTTGTTTTGTTAGAGGGGTTCACTTTTCATTGTGAATGTTTCATCGTTATTCCAATTCTTTCTTGGCATAGGGCATAGATAGTGTCACGAAAGCAACAGAGTCAGTAACTTCGTGCTGTTTATGCTAACGTACTTCCATTTTTTAACAGTATTTTGAAATTTCCTTGGACTGACTTACCAACACTGATGTGTTCATTTCTCCTTTGAGCATAGGAGGGCAGATGCTCTACTATAAAATACTAACGTTTTAAGCTGCTTAAGGCTTCTGCTTTGCTCATACACTTTGGAAAACTCTCACAGAATGGGCCCTTAAGCTTACCAAACAAATAAAACATTAACCATTCCTCATTTAAATATTTAGAGAATCTACTGTGTTTTCCTATTTGACATGAAATGCAATGAAATGACACAGCAAGTTCCTTTCACACAAAAAGGGAAACTGAGAGGAAGTTCTATTTCTTTAGGCACCAGAACATTCTTTCATGAGCAGAACTTCTTGCTTTTAAAAATATAAAGAACAATGCAAAAGTCGGTAATGCTGTGGATAGCTTACCAAGACACAGTTTATTTCCAGAAAACAGTTCTATGTCAAATCACTGCTGAGATAGAATAGTGGCTTATAAAGGAGAAAGACTGAAGACAGCAAGAGAGCAATTAAGTTTGAAATGATAAATGACACAGAACAGCTTAGCATAGCTCCTGACACAGAGTATGTACTCAAAACACAGGAGCTATTGAGTAGGAGTAGTAGAAATGCACTCTATGAGGTTGGCTTCTAGGCTACTTGAAAATTTTTCATTTAACGGGTGAACCGATTTTCTAGTCCTGAACAAAATGCAACAATAACCATGCACATTTAGACAACCCTTCAGAGCTACCTAGCTGGGAGAGGCTCTCCGACTCAGCACAGAGAATCCAGCCTTAGGCTTTAGGCAAATATCATCAAGTAAGTGGCAATTTCTTCCTGTTGAGGATTTTGTCATGATTTCAAACCTACATGTGGGACACAAACTTCCTAATTATGACATGTTTCTCTAAAGAGTTTCCTTATTCGTAGGTAATAAAATTGCAACATAAATAATCTCTGCTTCACAGGGCTGTTGTGATACTGAAGTGAAATGATACTTTTGAAGGTATCATACAAATGAAAAGGGTTATTAATAATCCCTTAACGTTGCTTGCAAAGAACTCTTTATTTGAACCATGGAATAATGATTAATCTGTCAAGATACAGGGCACTTCTGACGACCATATCAATGGAACTACCATTTTCTTGAACTCTGGACATCTGTCTTTATCTTTTGTATCAAATGAGCCAGCTGTATTTCCTGCACTCCTCTACTGACATTTGGTATAGCTCGGACACTTGGCAGTGAGGACTGTATACTGTAAACTCCTGCCAAATCCAAGATTCATGGATTTTGCATGGAATGCAAGAGGCTTTTTAGCAGTTCTTATGGAGTGGGCCTCTCTCCATGGATGATTATTTTCTAAGGCATGAAACATCCATTTAATGCCACACAAGGGAGGCAACTCCACCCGATTTATTCATGTTTACAACCGAGTAGTCATGTGGCAAATACCCACCTGAGGAGAGGGAGGCCGTGGACACTGCTATGGAAGGTGTGCCAGAAGGTTTTCGGTGATGACTCTTTGTGTGATCCTCAGAGGTGCTTTCAATGGCAGCCAAATCCACGGAATTTTCAAAACCGTGTTCCTTCTCACAAAGTAGAAATGAAAAAAGAAAAAAACCCAAAACCCGTTATATTGACTGTAATTGACTTCCAAATCTTTCCATATAAATATATGCCAGTATAACCACATTTATGTCTATCACTCTTTAGGAGGAGCCAGCTAATATCTGGAGTCCATATAACTCTAAAATTTACTATCAATAATTACTCTCTAAAATATATACTAAGAGATTTGCTAACTAGCACTAAAGGTGTTTGAAATAATTATTCACTGACAACATTAGTGAGTGTTCTAACATATGGTTAGCAGGAAAGTTGGTATTAATACAAGTACCTCCAAACTTAAATGAACTATGTATAAGAATCTGGCAAGCTTCATAGCCTCAGAGTACTGCTCAGGGTTAGAACTCTGTTTGGTCCCACATTTGTCCTCATTGTCAACACGCTCTCTCCTCGACCACCCCTCACTTCCAGCACCCCTCACTTAACAGAAGACCATGCCACCTTTCCCATCTAGTAGGCTGGATGATCAGAACGTGGTTGCTTACGTCATTATTGGCATGAAATTTCATGCAAGGCACTTACTAAAGTTCATAAAAGGATAAAGAATGGGGACTTCCCCAGCATACAAGAATAGGTGATTTATTTACTTTTTCTGGAACCTGCTTGCTAATACATGCTTGCGCATGTGACAGAATTCAGACACTTACTTTCATTATAAAGGAAAATTCGGCCCCGACTTTGCCTGTGCCCATAGGGGCTTCACAACTGCATCATTCCAAATTTGCTTGAGTTTTGAAAAACTAATGCTGGGCTTCTGAGAACTGGGCTGAGGTTAAGTTTCCATGAAAATGATACCACGGTGTGATAATGATCGAACCTAAGAGAGATTCTTTCGTTCCCCCTTCCGTAAACAATCAAAAAGTGCCTTCAAAAGTCCTACAGAAAGGCATTCCCTTCTTGTTGCCCTATCTTTACCCCATACCTTAGACACTGAGGAGATGTTAATGAACTCATTCGGGAAAGATGGAACTCTCACTTGCTTAGCATGCAAATCAATGCAGCTTCAATATAGACTGGTTTTGATCTTTAAGTATTCTCCAACGCATACTACCTGTAGCAGGAGGAATCTGGCTCCTAAATTTTCTAATTGCTCCAGACCACTAAGGTTTATCAAAAGACTGTGATGGAGGTCAAAAGGATAGATCCGTTTTCAACACCTCTTCAAAAAGTTGGTCACACATGGATTCCTCCAACGAAGCAAGACCAACTTGCAATTACGTTGACAGCAAATTTTCAAACTGGCACCCTGGAGTATCATTAATATTGAGCACTAATGGGTCAATTAATATTGTACAGTCATGAACATGTAACACATACCCTGAAGATTCAGGATGTGAAGCCTAAAATTAATAAGTTACCACACAGCAGAGGACAGGTTAGAGACTTTCATGTTCTAAGAGTTTTCCATTTTAAAAATGTACTTCTCACATGCTAAGGCAGACAAGAACACTGAAACAAAGAGATGCTGAGAAATGGGAGAAATTGAGAAGCTGTGACCTTGATCGTCATCTAATGCTACATAGGTCTTCCCTTCATCATGAAAGAGCAAAACTGTTTCATAAAGTACTGTGCTGTATTAAGTCTATTCAACAGAAAATATTTCTCTTTGTGTCTTTTTCTCTTAGAAAAGACCATCTAGATCAGCTAGAATGCAAGAGTGAGATCAATATAGACACTGCCTATATATATGTATGTATACACGGTTGTAGGGAATTTCTGTTTGTTAGGGAAATCTAGGTGTTATTTAATAAAGTATTCTTGTATTTGCAGCAACATGGATGCAGCTACAGATTATCATACTAAGTGAAGTAAATCAGAAAGATAAATACCATATGATATCACTTAGATATGAAAACTAAAATATGACACAAATGAACCTACCTATGAAACAGAAACAGACTTACAGACATAAAGAACAGACTTATGGCTGCCAAGGGGGAGGGGGTTGGGGGAGGGATGGACTAGGAGTTTGGGGTTAGCAGATGTAAGCTCTTACATATAGAATGGATAAACAACAAGGTCCTACTGTACAGCACAGAGAACTATAGTCAGTACCCGACAACAAAGCATAATGGCTATTCGGGGTCTTTTGTGTTTCCATACAAATTGTGAAATTTTTTGTTCTAGTTCTGTGAAAAATGCCATTGGTAGTTTGATAGGGATTGCACTGAATCTGTAGCTTGCTTTGGGTAGTGTAGTCATTATCACAATGTTGATTCTTCCAATCCAAGAACATGGTATATCCGTTTTTCTTTCTCAAGACAGCCAAAGCAATCTTGAGAAAGAAAAACGGAGCTGGAGGAATCAGGCTCCATGACTTCAGACTATACTACAAAGCTACAGTCATCAAGAGAGTATGGTACTGGCACAAAAACAGAAATATAGATCAATGGAACAGGAAAGAAAGCCCAGAGAGAAACCCACGCACATATCGTCACCTTATTTTTGATAAAGGAGGCAAGAATATACAGTAGAGAAAAGACAGCCTCTTCAATAAGTGGTGCTGGGAAAACTGGACAGCTACATGTAAAAGAATGAAATTAGAACACTTCCTAACACCATACACAAAAATAAACTCAAAATGGATTAAAGACCTATATGTAAGGCCAGAAACTATCAAACTCTTAGAGGAAAATATAGGCAGAACACTCTATGACATAAATCACAGCAAGATCCTTTTTGACCCACCTCCTAGAGAAATGGAAATAAAAATAAACAAATGGGACCTAATGAAACTTCAAAGCTTTTGCACAGCAAAGGAAACCATAAACAAGACCAAAAGACAACCCTCAGAATGGGAGAAAATATTTGCAAATGAAGCAACTGACAAAGGATTAATCTCCAAAATTTACAAGCAGCTCATGGAGCTCAGTATCAAAAAAACAAACAACCCAATCCAAAAATGGGCAGAAGACCTAAATACACATGTCTCCAAAGAAGATATACAGATAGCCAACAAACACATGAAAGGATACTCAACATCACTAATCATTAGAGAAATGCAAATCAAAACTACAACGAGGTATCACCTCACACCAGTCAGAATGGCCATCACCAAAAAATCTAGAAACAATAAATGCTGGAGAGGGTGTGGAGAAAAGGGAACACTCTTGCATTGCTGGTGGGAATGTGAATTGGTACAGCCACTATGGAGAACAGTATGGAGGTTCCTTAAAAAACTAAAAATAGAACTACCATATGACCCCACAATCCCACTACTGGGCATATACCCTGAGAAAACCGTAATTCAAAAAGAGTCATGTACCACAATGTTCACTGCAGCTGTATTTACAATAGCCAGGACATGGAAGCAACCTAAGTGTCCATCAACAGATAAATGGGTAAAGAAGATGTGGCGCATATATACAATGGGATATTACTCAGCCATAAAAAGAAACGAAATTGAGTTATTTGTAGTGAGGTGGCTGGACCTAGAGTCTGTCATACAGAGTGAAGTAAGTCAGAAAGAGAAAAACAAATACTGTATGCTAACACATATATATGGAATCTAAAAAAAAAAGATTCTGAAGAACGTAGGGGCAGGACAGGAATAAAGATGCAGATGTAGAGAATGGACTTGAGGACACGGGGAGGGGGAAGGGTAAGCTGGGATGAAGTGAGAGAGTGGCACGGGCATATATACACTACCAAACGTAAAACAGATAGCTAGTGGGAAGCAGCCACATGGCACAGGGAGATCAGCTCGGTGCTTTGTGACCACCCAGAGGGGTGGGATAGGGAGGGTGGGAGGGAGACGCACGAGGGAGGAGATATGGGGATATATGTATATGTATAGCTGATTCACCTTGTTATACACTAGAAACACACATTGTAAAGCAATTATACTCCAACAAAGATGTTAAAAAAAAAACCTATAATGGGAAAGAATAAAAAAAAAAGAATATATATATGTATAACTAAATCACTGTGCTGTCCAGCAGAAATTAACACAACGTTGTAAATCAACCATACTTCAATAAAATAAAAAAATAAAGAAATATTCATGTAAAGGCTGTTAGTTTTGAGGGTACTAGCACGTGACAAGGGTGATTCCCTCCCACCCCCATCCCGCCAATGATGGTACTTAGGAAGGTAAGCCTTGTTTTGAGAACGAATTTGACTAACTTACTAGTTATTGGACTGACAGTCTGCTGCTACCCATTGGTACAGCTGTACCAGCAGTTCAAATTTTTTAAATACTTCTGTATCAGTTGGTAAACAGAGCTACTCCCAGTCCATCTCCCCTTCCCTGTGCTCCCCTCCTCCACAACCCTAGTTCTCCCCACAATCCAGGATACTGCACGGCACGGAAGGGCCCCCAGGATGCTGCCCAACCTTGTGCCAGGGTCTGTTCTGATGGCTCAGTGCCCATGCCATACCAGTTGCTAAATATTTTGAATACCATTCCTTGTTAGGTTGCCAAAGCAGTGAGTGCAATCACCAACTACACGTGCACTTTTCTGGCTAGTGAACAGTACTGCTTGCTGAGCTTAGTATAAATATTGATAAAATTTTAAATATGCCTTTTATCTTATCAGCAAATTTAGACTATAAGTATTTAAATACACTTATTAATTATTATTCAATCTGTCTGAATGCCTTTTGGCTCTTCCTTAAAAATATCTATAGAATCTGGATGCTCACAACCTCCATGTCTATCTCCCTGTTCCAAAGCTCAGTTTCTTGCCTGCAGTAATGTGATGGCCTCCTTCTTAACTGGCCTT